TAGGTAATAATATCTCCTGCTTCCAGTTTAGAACTGTACATGCTGTACACGTACATGCTCAAAAATGTCTTTACATACAGTAGGTTTAGCAGTCAATATTCTTGTCTTCTCTCAATCTAATATTCAATAACACAATAGAAAGCTCCTGGACATGCTTCAAGTGTGCGCTGTAAACAAAACTCTTACATAAATCCATTCCAACTCCAGTTTTTCTTTCTTTAATTTCACTATTTACCAAATTATTCACCGTACACAACAGCAAAGCAGGCGTTTTTATCATCGTAACACAATGGTCTGTGCAGCGGTGATTCCCCTTCCTCCAGCCTCTCTCCTCCCCTCTCCCCTCTCCTCTGTCCTCTCCCTGAAGTGAACAGATTGGGTCTCTGTGGGACGGTGTCACCCAGGGAGACCCCCACCTCCCCATCCAGTCACGAAGCTCGCTCTGGCCCTGTCCCGTGCACACATGCGACCTTCACACAACAGACGCAATATCAATTCAAGTCATTCACGATCAGTAGGAACTATCAGCTGTCACAATAGATTTTTTTGTGTGATCTTTTTCTTATTTTTTTGGTGAATAATTAACATCCATGACTAGGAACTAACTACAGATAGTGTTTCATTCTTCTATTTATTGAGTGTTTTGTTAATTCTATGGTTCACTCTCAAACTGGGAGTGTCATGCTTTAGTTTAGATAAATACTAGTGACAAAAAGTGGTCTCAATATTCATTTTGTGATAATTCGCAAAAGTATCGATGCTCAGATACGAATTGATAATAAAACTAACATCGTAAGTACAGACACTGAGAAAAAAAAAATGGAAAAAGGACTAAACTGGTCCTAATCTATGTCGAATCACATGAAAATATTAAAGAAACGACTATTATTTTGTGTCGGTAATTACTATTGTGGTATCAACATCTGTGTCTATCAAAGCTGTTTTGACATGTTTTGACAATTGATAATGAATCTTTAGCAAAAATGATCTAATTATTTTTTCCACAATATGAGTCTAAAATAAAAACACTAAAGCAAGTAGCTGTGATGACGTCACACTTAACAATCTCATTCATGGATTACAGCTTCCTTTTTGTTTACAGGTGCCATTTTGAGAACTTTTTACCATTTATAAGATATCACATATTGCTTTGAAATTGTTAAATGCTCATTACAAAAAAAAAAGGAAAGAAAGAGATCCGCACTGCAGTTCTTTCAAGCTCCCAAATTTTTATTTATCGACACCACAATATGAAGTTTCGGGCCAAACCCTTCTTCAGACATGTGTAAAATAAAAATCGTTTCCTTAATATTTCCATGTGATTCGACATAGATTAGGACCATATTAAAACTACTAAGGAAAGGTCCGGTCTAGTTCTTTTTCAATTTTTTCCCCCAGTATTGACTTTCAATATTAGTTTTATTATCAGTTCTTATCTGAGCATTGATACTTTAGACAATTATCAAAAAATTTATATTGAAGACCTCTTTTTGTCACTACTACTCTAAACTAAAGCATGACACTCCCAGTTTGATAATGAACTTCTTCAGTTTGATTATTGACATGTCTGAAGAAGGAAATAAAGATTTGGGAGCTTCAAAGAACTGCAGTGCGGATCTCCTTCTCTCTTTTTTGCACTATTTTTGTCTTTGGAACCAGCACGCAGTCGCAATTTTTGTTGGATGTGCATGTCTCTATCCATCAGTAAATGCTCATTACTCCAACTGAAGATAGTCTAAGTGGTGTCTTTGCAAATTCAGATGGACATGATTGACAAGTGGATTAACCAATCAGATAAACACAGGCTCTGCTGGTGTCAAAACAAACATGGCGGCTTTGGAGTAAATAGAAGGAAAACTTGAACAGAGCACAGATTTCTGAATAGTCAAAGATAAAAATAAATTATATATTCCTTTTGACATTCAAACAGAAAATAGGAGGTACTGGCTCAACTGCAGTATCTAAAAGTACCAAAATTTTCATCCCAGCTACGTTTAAAGATTGATTTGTCCTGATTGATTGTCCACACTGCAGATGTACCGATGTTAAAAAGTTCAAAAAGGGGCAGGAGCCAGTTGAACCTTGCGGCGCAGAAGTTTGTGCTTACTTTGAGAGGTTGAAATTAGAAACAGGAGGGCATGCATTCTGATGGAGAAATGCCTAAATAATAAATAAGCTCTTGGCTGCTCTCGTCGCGGGGGATCACAGTTTGTCTGCGCGAGAGAGGCTGCGCACGCTAACGCATTCACACCACGCAGGGATGCCCTTTCTACTCCAGACTGTAGTACATCTGATACATCTGGAAGACAGGAGAAAGTAAGGTGAAGAAATATAAAAAAATCCATGAAATCTGACCGAACCATAACCTGACATATGGTGTAAAATATGTAGTATATATTTCAAACTCGATTTCAATACTAAAGAATAAACTCATTTTTATAAACTTTAATAATAACTTAGTAATAGTATTTGTTTGTTATACCAAGCGGCCTTAATTTTGGTAAAACTCAAGGTAAGTCAGATTTGATCAATTTTTTTGTTCTAGTATCAATACCTGCTTTCGATACTAGTTTCAGAATGGATTAGTATCTGATTTTCATTACTCTTGGCAAGCGTAATCGGTACCAATATTGATATAAACTGACATGTGGGATTTTTCATGTATCGTATCGGTTAAATTCCGTAATATTAAGAATTGATATTAGTCTTTTTGCCCTTGTGTCGTTCTCCATTTGACTTTTTCATCGGACCAGAGGCTTACAATGGAAATAGTATAGGTGGCTGTATATGTTAACACAATCATCATTACAAAACACAACTTCTGATATTATACTGCGATGAATAAACTTTGCAATTTTTTTTTCTGAAATTGACAAAAGAATGTATTTGTATGAATTTGACTACAATTTGTGAGCCTTGCTTGAAGAGATTTAAACAAAAAAGGCTTTTTATTTATTCAGTTTTTCAAGTTTTGTGTAATAAAGAACAAACAAAAAAACAAAAAAAAATACAACCAATACAAAGCTTGGGGCACTGTTTCACTGCAATAAGGATGCTGAATGGTCAATCAAGTCTCTTTTTGTTTATATTTCAACCATTTTGTCCAAGAAATATCCTTTGAGTCGCAGAAAAAGTCAGTCACTCCATGGAATATATTTCTTCTCTAATGTCTAGCCACTGATTTCCTCTTGAAGAGATTTTAAAGTATTTGTATCAACACTGGAAAATATTGGATATCAGCCACAACAGCCAAACAAATATTGTATCAGTAATGGCTCTGGCTACATCTGAATAATCATATTTTGATCACAATTTTTAACTCCACTAAACCAACTCTAAAACACATGCAAATGGACAGGTGCATCAATAAGAAATGATCAAAATATCAAAAATTAATAATGGGAAATACTGACATTTTAATAAAACGCTTTTCCACTTTCAAGGCACTCAAAGCACTTTACATCCACGAACTCACTCATTCACACGCACATTCATACACCAGTATACGCAGAAAGAAAAGGGGAATGGTGGGTTAAGTGTCTTGCCCGAAGACACAACAACAGTATCACAAAACGTTCTATCAACTGAGCTATTTTGCCCAATAAAATCATTTTATTTTTTATCGATAATACACATTTGTAGCCTTTAGACACCATATTTCAATCTTTATTTACTTAAAATCTATTTAAAAATACAAATAATCATTTGACTTGTAGACAAATGGAAAAAATTATTGCTGCCTTGGTGACTATTAAAATAATCGTTAGCTGCAGCCCTAATATTGACTGTACAATCCATATCGGACCATCCATACTTAGGACTAGATTCTCCTGATGTGCTGTTAATCTTACTCAGGAGGCGGGCACGGGCACCTATGGGCAGGGTGGAGGGTGGAGGGTGCAGGGTGGAGGGACCGGAGGAAGTCCCTGCGCTGGGGTGGACCAAGGGGGCGGAGACAGAGTGGGGATTTGCATGGCTGACAGCTGGACTGAAAAACAGGCTATTTCAGGACGGGATTTATAACGTTCGTTTCTACCTCAAATCCTGAGAGAAAGCTTAAAGAGGGCGGTATCAGACAAGGCTCTGTCAAGAATATTATCTCTGATTTGAGAAATAAATAAAATAAAAGTTGATTTTAGTAAATGTGCATCATATCTGCATTTAAGACTGTTTTGTTGTGTAGTTAGTGTAGATTATATTTAAATAAGGTGTCCAAGAAACTAAGTATTATAAGCTATATGGCATATTTTGTAGTCGATCTTTAGAATAATAAAAATAAATAAAAATCAGGACCATTGCCATAGATTATTAAAAATTTAAATAAAAAACTATTACATCTTTTAAACAGGAAAAAAGACAGCTGAAACTGAGTGAAGTTGGTTGATTAAAAAGAGATTGTCAAAACTGAATATTATTTCTCTATTAATTCTGTACATTTTAAATCATTTTTTACTCGAAGCTGAAAAATGTCTTATAAAATACAAAACCACAACTTTGACTCGATAACTCGTTCCTGAAAAAAGATCTAAGCCTGCTGCCCACACGAGCCCAAGCTGCTCCTGTACGAAAGCAGTGCCAACATCTCACATCAATATTATGTAATGGCACTATGGTCTCACGCGTCTCCAAAACCCACTCCAATAACTGCCAAAAACGACCAGAAAAAGAAAAAAAACAACCACACGAAATTGTACAATTTAAAAACTGTGAATTCTAGTGCAGATTTTGCAATTTTTTTTAATCAGCAGAAACATTTTTTAATCACATGCACTACTCATATCACTCCGCGCATCCAAAAGCCACTAGATTTATAATTGTTTCCATGCAAAATGTTGGACAAGACATGCCCGCCATTGAAAGTAAAATTTAAAAGTGAACTTGGTTTGGATTCGGATTTTGGAGGGAAGACGAGCGCCACAAAAACTGCCGGCGGGTCAGACGTGTCCAAATTCACATCAAAGTAAGTCTTGTGATGAAAAGTGCGTGTTAAAAGTGCTTACCTGTGAATTTTGCCCAGAGTTTTGGCTGCGGAAGCCTTGAACCTGTCCGGTCGGATCTCCATCGCTGCAGCTCCTGGCCCGACCGCTGCGCTCCGCTCTGTGCCGCCCGCTCTCCCTCTCTCTCCTCCGGCTGCCCCCTCCTCACGCCTCCCCTCGTCCCTCCCAGGCCCAGCATCACCACATGGACCACTAGACTACTCACACCGCTAAAGGTATCAATTATTAAATGAGAATGGCTTATTTTCTGCGTCAAAGTAGTATGTAGAAAAATGTGCAGTACCAGAGACGCCATGACGCGTAAAAGCGCCTTTTTACGCCTTTTTCATCTTCTCCCGGCCAAACCTTTCATTCAGTTCGTTGAGGTCTTGTGAAGTAAAAGTAAAAATGTTTAACATTTTAAATAAATGACACAATTTCAAAAATAAATATTAGTGTCATTGCATAAAGGTAACCTACTTTATAACAATGCTATAACTGTAACTCTGCTGGAGGGTCTTTTGTTTGGCTCCATGGAGGTGTAGTAATACTGCTGCCTGTAATTTTCCATAATATGGCTTAAAACGTATATATTTTTATTTAAACAAGTAACACTGAATTACAGATCAGATCTGTGGAGAGGCAAGCCAGCTAATGCATGTAAGAGCAGTAAAAATATATGTTTTTAAAGGCAGTTAACAATTCAAAATCATAGGCCTAATTAAATAAATGCATGATAGATTCATATTGTGGGACACTGGAGAAAAAGCAATCTACATGGTGACAATAGACAATAGAGAAGTTACAGAGTACACCTTTAATTGGTTTAGGTGTACAATGGGGTCAAGTGGGGTTGTTTGTCCTTGAGACAAACCTGTTTTTTGTTGAGGCCCTATTTTTTCTAAAACATCTGCATCACAGCTAATGATTCACAGTGATTTAATCAAGTTTATTTTATTGCAACTTTGTGCTTTGCCCATATAAGGCAAACTAATACAAATGTAGCATACAAAAAGGTGTTTGCCACCTTTATCTTCATCTAAATCATTTACAAATAAACACAGTCAAAACATGTGTACAAGACTCCTCTGTAGTGTGGGACTGAGCCCTCCTCACTGCAGGTAGAATGATCATGCAAAACTGTACATGTTCAGCTTCAAAGAGGCACTATAAAGCTTATGGACTTTGGTAGCTGCATTTAAATGGCACAGGCACTTGCTACTAAATACAAAACCAAGATTTGTGCTTTTTCCTTAATTACAGCTTGCATTTCCTTTGCACATTTCAGAGTATAATAAGCAGTACAAAACTGAGGTAGAATGAGATATGATACATAATGCACACTCCGACTGTATGGCAGTAAAAAGTATTGTGTGCTGTGAAGCAGGTCTCACACCCCTGTGTCCTGTTCCTCATCGTCCTCCTGCTGGGGCAGCAGCCGGTACAGTTCATGGCCCCCCGGTAAGAATATGGGGCCTACCCTGGGGGTCTCTGGCTCTTGGGCACGGCCCTGGTGGTTGAAGTCGAGCTGTTCCACAGAGTTACACTTGGTGTACAGCTCCCTCTGCATGTCCGGGCTTTCCCTCTCCTCAGAGTTCATGCTGCGGATCCTGCGGCTCTGTATCAGAGAGTGGATGTAGGCGACGGGGACAGGCAGACTGGCAAACACTATGAGCATGACGATCATAGCCAAAGCCCAGCCTGGGTACTCCAGGGTCTTCTCAGAGGCCTGCACACAAACATGGGGTGCTTAATGTGCTTCCTCATATTTATTATAGATATATACAAAGAGTATATGTCTCACCGTGTCTTGATTCCAGGATGTGTACGTGGGCCCTTTGAAGACCATGCGCAAGAAACTAGCAGCCAGAAGACCTACCATGGCCAGAACACAGACATATTTCCACAGATACTTGTAGACCACTGGAGGGCGCCACTTGAGCATGACTTCAATGTCATCCATAAAGCTGAAAAGGTTCAGCAAAATGTCAATATGCTCTATGTTCACCAGAAAATCATTATTATTTTTTGTTTACATCAAGTTCTTACCGGTCTGTGCCATAAACCCAGGACACACTGATGGTTTCAAAGATCACCACAATAATCAGTGGAAGAGTGGCAGAGTAGTCGTCAAACATGGTTACAAAGTAGTTTCCAGATCTCTGGGTAAACAGCAGTCCAATAATGAAGCCCAAAGCGCAGCTGGACACTGAAAAACAAACACACAGGACAGATAGCCACATAGAGTCCGCTTGTACAAATACATTTATATAATTATGCCTTATTTGCCACCTGCTATCTTTTTTGCTACTTATTTAGAATTTATTATTACAGTTTATATTTTCTACTCTTTTTAATTATATAATATTGTGATGTTTGAGCTACAGTGTCCAAACATTTCCCTTGTAGATCAATAAAGTTTGTTTAAGTCTAAGTTTAAATAAGACCTTAGGCTACAGACAATTCCTTTAAAAACTGTATATTAATTTTATTGCTGTCTTTATTGTACATTTTATTGTCTCTTTCAGGTCCTACCACGGTGCACGAGCTGACCATCGTACCTGTGAGCAATGTGCGGTGGCGTCCCAGCAGGCTGAAGTTGTCCATGAGTGGAGTGAGGATGCCCTGCATGGTCCCAAACATGGTGCTCATGCCCAGGTTCAGCAGCATGAGGAAGAACAGGGTGGACCAGAAGGGACTGCCCGGGAACAGGGCCATCACCTCGGTAAACGCTATGAACGCCAAGCCGGTGCCCTCCACGCCCTGTGCACACCAAAGAGGGGGAGATGGAGAGAGTATTGAGAAATCTGATGAACATTATCACTATAACAGTCCATAAAATATCTTAGAGAGGACATATTTTGGTATTTTGGGGTATTTACCATTAAACATATGTAGAGCACTAATTTACAATATTGATGTAAAACAGTTTAATAACAGAAATTGGTCCATTGCAGAACTGAGAGACCTGGCCTCTTCATATTAGGGCTGTCAAAAGTATCAAAAATCAGATACCAATGACTACTAAAACTTTAAGCAGTTATTGATTCTAAAAGAGCCATATTCACAGGTCAGAAATTAACCTTTCTTGAATAGTTTTAGGCTACATTTACACATAGCCGGGTATGTTGAGAAACAAATATTTCCCTTGATCCATTTTCCAAAATAACATCGTGCACAAAAAAGTTTTCGTTTACATCAGCCCGCATAAATACACCACTGAACGCCATCATAACTACGCCAAGCCTCTGGGTGGGACCTGGATTAGATTCAAACCTATAGCATTTATTTCATTACAGTTCTAAGTATTACTCAAAAATACCTTGAAAAACATGCATTACTAAGCGGGCTCACGTCTCCACAGATATGACAAAAGAAGTGGCAAAATTGCTGACCTCGAGCCTCATTCATCTCTGGTCATCGATATCAGCTGTGTGTGCAAATGCAAACACATGAAAAGTGTCCGCACCAAAAGAATTGCGACTACTGCTCTGATGCTTCATGATCATCATCAGAGCAAAAGGGAAACACTGGTCGCACTTTTGGCGCATCAGCTCCTAAAACTCCTTTTATCTCACTTTATACACAAACGCGAAACCGTAGTTTTGCAGACTCTCCACTCTAGCCAGAGTTTTTATAAAGATTAGTTTTCAGAGGCGAATTTGCCGTTTGCATGTAAAAGATGTGTACAACCTAAGGGAAATGTCTCAGTTTTTATAAATACCCATGTACGTGTAAACTGAACTTTAGAAAGATCTTGAGCTTTATCATGGCACCTCCTGGACCTGAGGGATTTCACCGATATACCACATGGTAATATAAAAGAAGTACTATGAGTAAGAAGCATTTAGCAAGTGACACATTTTCATTAATGTGTTTTTAATGCTGGAAAAACTGACTATGATTATACATCAGGATTAATTTCACAGTGCACTTTCCACACATCTGAGAGAATCAACATTTGAGAAACATACATATCAGAACATGTTTGCCGAGGTCTAAAACAGGATATTATTGTTAGAACTACCTTTTACGCAATGTCATATAAGCCCCTCGCCGGCACAACTGAACGTAGATACTTTTACATGACATATCCTGTTTTCCATTCTGTGGTTTGCTTTCACTCCACTGCTTCGTCTCAGCGTGGTGCCATCTCTCTAAGGGGGCCCTGTGATATACTGTATCTGAGTAGTTGTGTGTTTTTAGACTCCTATCTGCGGGGTACTTACTTTCCATTACTTCAGTATTTCTCAGGGGTACTGGGAAAAAGGCCCTTGTTGTTGTTAAATAGTTTTACATAAATTTGCCGTAAAAGTCAGGATGGACTGAATGTAAAAAAAAAAATTAGTAGTGAGAATCTTATGAAAGTGAATTGACAATATTTGTTGACAAAAGGAATTGAACTAATGACACTGAGGCCAGTACAGAGCCTACAGATGTATTGGCTGGAACAGTACAGCACAGTATTTATATGTCCTTTATTTGTGTGACTGTTAAATTTAGAAGAGCTATGCTGTAGGGATGTAACAATATCCAAATCTCTCGTTACAATATTATCACAATATGCATCTCACGGTATGATATTTATTGCGATATTTTGAAGAGGCTAATAATGAAATAAATAGGACACTTTTTTGCTTTTAAAATACCTTGACAAGATTTTTGTGTGAATTATTTCCATCATAATCCCAAGAATTCAAGTAAAAAAACATTTCTTCATGTTGGCTGCACTGAAATGAATCATGGAATATGTAGTTTCTGATGTTTGTAAGCTGTTGCTACTATAAAACCATGCATTTAAGCAAAGTAACTTGTAATTCTTTGTTGGACTTTGGACAAACAGTAACTATTTCGGTTATTGTTACATCCCTACTATGCTGCCCTCCTGCCACAGTCTAGGCAGAACGGTTTAACACTTTGACCCACATATCATTCATGCCACTAAATATTGTACTATGTCAATTTTCCCTGGCATTAAATTGTTGGTTTTATACAATTCATGGGTTTCAGGCATAACGATTCCAACACTTCAAAATCATAATTTTCATGTTCCAGTTTTGCCCACGATACAGAGGCTGCAAATTCTGGAGGCAGTTTTCAGATCTGGTTAGTTACGGCACATCAGAGGCGCTGTTTAAAAAGAGTTTGAGGAAATGGTTGATATTTCATGATTGTGGATGTTTCATTGTGTTTTAATCCACGTTTGAATCAAATGAATTTAATCCATGGTGTTTAAATGTAAATTTGTATTTTTTTTTTTTTTTTTTAAGGACAGTGATAATGTTCAATTTTTAATGTATTCATAAGTTGGAGGCTTTAATATAAGTTTTTTGGTATAGGTTTTTTGCCTCTTCTGGCACCTATTTTTTATTTAGTGTGTTTTTTTATTGTTATGTTATATGTGCAAAATAAATAAATAAATTAAAATAAATGTGCAATGTTTTGGCTACAGAAGGAAGTTTCCTGAGTCCTAGGTCCCTGCTTAGACTGCCGCCATTGCTGCATGGTCCTGGATAAGCGGAATAAGATGGATGGATGGAGGAGGTTTCTTTCCTTCAAATCAGGAAGGAATCATTCGTCTGAAACCCATGAATAGCCCAGAACATAAAACTGGCTGTACTACCTTGTTCATCTCCTCCTCCAGGCTGCAGTCGGTGATGTTGGGGCCCACCATGCTTCTGTAGTGACTGTACCACTCCCTGTAATCGTCTATGGCCACTGCGCTGGGGTCTGTGATGTTGAACCAAGGCCACCAGTGCTGTGTGGAGCTCTGCGTCGCCATTATGCTCAGCTGCCCAAGATTACTACAGAGGTACAATAAGAACAAACAAATTCCACTTCACTGTAGCAATTTCTCTTCAAAAGATTTCCAAAAACATCTCCTCAAAACATGACATTACTTACCTCGCCACACAGTTTTGAGCTATAGTCTTGGCACGGAATCCGAGTACAACGAAAACCACGAGCGAAGCCAGGACTGAGGTCATGAAGTTGATGCCAGAGACCATGATGGCGTCCCTGTGGCAGTTGTTGTTGACGGGGTTATAGGAGGAGTAAGCGATGACTGAGCCGTACCCCAGGCCCAGAGCGAAGAACACCTGTGTAGCAGCCTGACGCCAGACCTGCACGTTTCCCCAGATCTCAAGCTGAAATGGAGAAGTAAAAAAAAAATTATACCTAAATAGTTAATTTTTTATGTAAAGGTCTATATCAGAGTTTCCCAAACATTTATTCTGGGGACCCTCACGTTTTAAACAGTGAAAAACAGTAATTGAACCAGCAATAAAAGGATCCATAAGTCACCTATTTGGACACTAAATGTAGCCCATTTCTTTTTCTTTTAAACATTCAATTGAACCAGTAATACTGGAACAAAATAGTCAATTAAAATAATTACAAAAAGATTGATACAAAACATGTTAATATTTCTAATGAGATAGGTGGGTCTGTCTGTGTTTTTATAATGAGTTCCAGTCTGGGTGCAGGAGGAGAGCGCAGCAGCAGATCAGGCGCAGTATTCAGTCTGTTTCTGTGCTTTGTCTTCATTTTTGTGAGCACAGAAAATCCCAGTTCACACATATATGTAGTAGTGAAAGGAATAAGCACAGAAACACTGGCCCTACTGAGGATAGGATATTCTGATGAAATGCTTATCTAGAATGACGATAAGGACACAGATCCACTTACTCGCTCTCTCATGTGTCAGAACTGTATATTGTAGACCTAAATGCAGATCGTGACAAGGCAACCAAAAAAAAAAAAATCTCTTGCGACCCACCTGAGGATCACAACCCAGTCTTTGGGAAACAATGGTCTATATTATATACGCAAAATTGACTCTTGTGAGTTTTAAGTCACGTTATAATGCTGGTAACTCCTCAAAAACGTACCTAGAGTTGTGGTCTGTTTTATTTGTTTTATTTGAGTTATACTATCAGGCAAGAAATCTAGGGGTAATAATGGACTCAGACTTGAACTTTAACAGCCACATCAAATCAATAACATCTGCAGCGTTTTACCATCTAAAAAACATAGCAAAAATCAAAGGTTTACTGTCTAAAGCAGACTTGGAGAAACTTATCCATGCGTTTGTCTCCAGTAGGTTAGACTACTGTAATGGTCTGCTCACTGGTCTCTCCAAACGAGCTGTGAGACGCTGCAGAACATCCAGAATGCTGCAGCTCGGGTCCTTACTCGAACTAGGAAGTACGAGCACATAAGTCCTGTGCTCAGGTCTCTGCACTGGCTTCCTGTGCCTCAGAGAATAGACTTTAAAGCAGCTCTGCTTGTGTACAAGTCTCTCCATGGCCGAGCACCAAAGTACATCTGTGACATGTTAGTGTCATATGAACCATCTCCACCTCAGGGACCGGCCTCCTGCTGGTGCCCAGAGTCAGGACTACACAAGGGGAGTCAGCGTTTCAGGTTCATGCAGCTAAAACCTGGAACAGTCTTCCTGAACATGTGAGACAGTCCTCTTCTGTGACGCTGTTTAAATCCAGGCTCAAAACATTTTTTTAATTTGTTTTTATTATGATTTTAATTAGAGCCCGACCGATATATCAGTTGACCGATATTATCGGCTGATATGAGCAACTGTGAGCATATCGGCTATCGGCCGATATACTTGCTGATAGGGGCCGATATTTCACTATTTCCCATGGGCATGTTATACCTCGTTATAAATCTTAGACTCTCTACATTATGTTAATTTAATCCAATTTACAGACAGATAAATGTCCAAATATGTGGCTCCGCATCAGTATTTATCTGTGGAGTCATTTGTCAGTGTGTGTGTCCGTACTGTCCCTGAACACACCCCCAGAGTCACGTGCTCATGTTTACACCCACAGACACAGATCTATGTGCAACACTTACATTATTTTCTTTTTACGGACAATCGGGTTGAGTCTGGATTAAAAGGACATTTATTAGTGCAGACTTGTGATGTGAGGAGGAGCCTGTGTGAGCGCTGAGTGTTGGAAATATGCCGACTTTGAAGCAAGTTTTGGTCATTTGTTTATAGGTTAGCGATTAGCTGCTGTAGCTCTCGCACATAAACAGGCTGTTTTCTATTGGTCTATTGTAAAGTGACTATATATTTGTTACTGGACCTGCATTGATATGTAAATGAGCTGTGAATAGACGTGTGAACTATTAAATTTGCGCATATAATTAATTACCGCGGTGCGCAGCATTTACGGCTAAAGACTAATAGCGATTGCAAACGAAACGGTTCTTAGATCCGGCTCTTTGAAGCGAACGAGGGGAGCCTGATCCTCATTGGGATTGGGAGTCGTGTTTTCTCTTTCTCTCACTTTTTTTCTTTTCACGTCGCGTGCAAACTCGTGGTAGTTTGACAGCGGCAGCGGCTCAAAATGAAACTTTCAAAAATCTGCGTGTGCATAGGAGAGAAAAAACGTGCATAAATATATTCAGCATAAAATAAATAAACCAGGACTAATCTTGGGGTCGAGAGAGGGAGAGAGATAGAGACCGAATCCCTACACTCAGTCCTGGTTAAGTTCTGGTTTAGTCCTGTTTTACACATGGTTTAGATCTGTTTTAGTCCTGGTTTAGTCCTTTTTCAGTCCTGGTTCAGTCCTGGTTCAGTCCTGGTTCAGTTCTGGTTTAGACCTGCTTTAGTCCTATGACATATCATGTAAAGAGGCAAAATAACAATAAATGTTGCCTAAATAAACCCAGTTTAAAAACCACCAGAGCCAAACCTAAGTTTTTTTTTAAACAATTCAAGATTTACAGTGAATTTTTACATCACTAAATATATCGGCGATTATATCGGCTATCGGCAGCGCCAACTCCCAGTATATCGGTTTCATATCGGCAACAACAAAATCCGTATCGGTCGGGCTCTAATTTTAATGTACTTCTTATTCTGTAAAGCACTTTGAATTACTTTGTGTACGAATTGTGCTATACAAATAAACTTGCCTTGCCTTGCCTACTTTATTATTAGTCAACATCTCTAAAGCTCAAAATGCTCTGTTCCACTTTGTTATTTCATGTACTGGTAGTTTTCATTAAACATGTGCAAATGAAACAAAACTCCAGGTATAATGATAATATTTTTGATGAGGAAACATTATAACATAGATCAGAAAATAGCATATATGGGACATTTAACGCTTTTTTGTATAATTTACCAGCTGTTAATGTTTTGAATAGAGATTGAACATCTTATTTTTCTTACGTTAATTTTAAAAAAGTGTACCGCATATATTTTCTGGTTAACAGCTAGAATGTTCCACAGTATAGCATTAAAACATATCCAGCGAGCTTATTTCCTGCGTGTTTTTGTTTTATTGCTCAAAAACACCTTTAAAAACATGCACTCTTACTGTGAGCCTCTCCACAGATCTGACCTATAAGTTAGATATGTTTTATGCCATATTGTAGTAAATTCAAGGCAAAGCGATACCACCCCCATGGAGACAAGCAAGTGCCGTACTCTTGTGAAAAAAGGAAAAAGGAAATCTATTCTTCGAAAACAATAATATAGATCTCTTTATCAGAAAGTTTGATTTAAACTTGAAAAAATTCAAAGTTCATACCTTTGGATAAAACATGTAGGTGATTCCGTCCATGGCTCCGTCTAGCATTAACCCTCTGATGAGGAAGATGAAGAGCACCACGTAGGGGAAGACTGAAGAAAAGTACATTACCTGGAACATAGACAAACAATTAGCACACTGTATTAAAGGTGCATTGTGTAACTTTTCTGGTGGAGGGTCTGCCAAATGCTTTTCTTCGTGGTAATATTACTGCTTTGTCTGGAATGTTTCACAGTATGGAATTATTAAACTTTTCTATCTTCATGGAGACCAAACCAGAGAAAGTTAGAGGTCAGATCTGTGGAGAGGTGACCCCGCTCACAGTCAAAAGGTGTTTTTGATCTATAAAACCACCTGTAATTGAATAAATGTAAGGTAGAGCTGATTAATGTCTGTGGAACATTCCAAGCAGGTGACAGACCTCCAACCAAAAAGTTACACAGTGCACCTTTAAACAAGACAAGTTTTTTTTCATTGTGTACTAAATATTAAAAACTATTACATACATAGATATTTATTTTACATTTGGTTCATTGTAAACAGCAATACCGATCTAAAACCGCAAAATAATAGTTTTAATGTGGCATTTTAAAAACTTATGACCCAAATTATTATTATTTTTTTTAATAATCAAGTACACAGCAGTGGTTGAATATAGGGGGTAGGTGAAAACAGGATTTTTCAGAGCACACGTGCCTCAAATTCAAACTCCCCTTTAAAGTTTAATATACAAATTGTGTCTAGAATCATACCCTTGCGGATGACTTAATGCCCTTGATCATCGCCAGAGACACGATCGTCCAGGCAGCGAGCAAACAACCCGTCATGATCAGATTGAATTCTCCAGACTCATTGATAGAGTTTGTGATGTTCAGGGCTTTCCGGAACCAGAAGTACGACGTGGGAGAACTTTTGGCACATTCTTTAACTGTTGATAGAAAATAGTTAATGGTGAGATGTTGCCAGAGGACTTTATTGTGAAAAATAATTATTGATAATATAAACCTGTTTCATTGGTGTGGACATCTATGGGACACTGGTGCCAGGGCAGAGGATACTGGAATGAATTACCCAGGTAGAACAAGCTCCAGGCGATGATGACATTGTAATATAGAGCCACATAGAAACAAACCTGTAGGAGAAAATAGACTGTGAATGGTCATTAATACATAGACTGACACAGGCATTTTTAAAATTTATTTATTTATTTTTTTATTGCAGTTTTAGCACACATTTTTTAAAACTTGAGCTTCTGAGAAGATTTAATTCACCAGTGCTCTGACAAGAGGGATTTAAAAAATTTGAGAGCTACAGGATTTTTACACCATATGTGGCAGAGGACCTTCCAGAGGAAATACTCCAAGACTTTCAAGAGGAAACACTTTGAAGGAATTAACCATCCCATTACCAACCGAAACTCCAGACACTGCTGTGATGCTGCAGGATACAGAGGAGGAGGGACACTGTTGGCTCTTCCTCTCCTCAAACTGCCCTGATACAGGATCTGCTGACCCTACCTAACTAGTCCTCCTGTTATGCTGCACTGAAAGTCTGAAATCTTTGACTGAGACACAAAGCTGAATGAGAAGCACAGTGTAAATATTTCAGCAAAACTGCATCAGTTTGCTGCAGCAAAACTTGAATTTCCCTCAGGATCAGTAAATTATCTCTTTCTCTGTCTCTCTCCTTAATCCTTAAGACACTTTGAAGCGTTCAAACACAGGCCCACACCTAAAATTGTGTCTGAACAGGCCCATAGGCAATAATTCATACCAATGCAAATATCGGCCCCATATGTACACATACGTTATCTATATCACTAATGTCCCAAGTGTGGAGTTTTCCCGACGCTAACGAACACTACTGGCTCCACAGAGAAATATCTTTTCCTGAAAACAAGGGGCTTCTGAGTGAAAAATGGGCGTAGAAGTAGTGGTGGTGCTGGCTGTGCGGAGAAAGTGTTATGCAACAGGCTGCCAGCTCTCCAGCGGACCCTCACAGCCGGCTTGGATGTCATCATCACCCTCTCTATGTATACACACACTCCTGTCTCACTGCAGCTGTGCAACTTTGGATCACGTTAAACTTTTGACTCTCTCCCAGCTCCAGTAATGCTGATATATGGTGTAGGAAAACAAAAGATTCACAAACGGGGGTGGGCGATGTGAACAAAAATAAATATCTCTATACATTTTTTGGATTGTCATTAATCAAACCATATTTTTGCAGTGCTTCAGAAATGTGCTAAACTGTGCCTGTGAATCTTGTAAATGTCTTGGTTGAGGTCCAATTATCTGACAAAATGAATAGTCTTTAAAATGAAACACTGAAGTGAATACATATATCACATTTTTACTTAAAGTGAATACACAGATCACATTTTTACTTAAAGGTGCACTGTCACTTTTCTGGTGGAGGGTAAGTCACCTGCTTGTCTCCATGAAGATGTTATTGCTTTTACTGAAATGTTTTAAAGCACTGCATTGTGAAAAAATCGACTTTTTAGAGCTTTAAACATAGTTATAATGCATGTAGGATTTGATGTGATGCGCGTAGGGACCAGCAGCGTTGCATTTTGGTACAAATGAAAAAAGATCTACTCTTTTACGTGACGTGCGGCTATCCATAGGAGGGGCCAATGGCTGTGTGGCGTTTTGTTGTGATGACATTTATGGCGATGTCAGCTCCCATTGGTCATCGCAGTTTCCTAACGAGTAAATCAGCAGGCTTGGTTTTTTTAATTATGTTGTTTTAGATCAATATTACAATTTAAAATGTTCAAATGATCCAAAAGTGTCATCTATTATAACTATAACGAAGACTGAAGCACAGTATCTTCTTTAAACTTAACATCTCCATAAAATTATTCTTTGAGATTGTAATAAATAAGTAAAAGATGATGAAAGGAAATGATGATGGTGAAAATAATATTAGTTTAAGTATAGGGACTAAAAATGTTTATTTAAAAATGGGGGAAAAAAAGGAAGAAAGGGAGAAAAAGTAATTTCAATGATAAATTGGCCAAAATATTTCAATGTAAGGGGCCCTAGCAGTGTGGTTATGCTGCACTACCACATTACTTTTGTTTTATTTAACTAAATTTGTGTTGGTGTGTGTGGTCGGGGGAAAATATTTTAATAAAAAAACAAAACAAAAAAACATCTCCGTGAAGACAAACAGGAAATACCACCAGGTTACAGGGCAGATCTGTGGAGAGCCCGTTCACAGTAAAATTGTTTGGTATTTTCGAACTAATAAAAATGTTGGAATGAATAAATACAAGATAACATAAGATACGTTAAATGTTGTACTGTGGAACATCTCAAACAAAGCAATAACATCTCCATGTAAACAAGAAGGTGGCATACCCCCAAAGAGAAAAGTGAAATAGTGCGCTTTTAAGTAGTTTTTATTGACTTTGCTCTTTTAAAAAGTACTTACTCCCCCAACAAACATTAACCATTTTGACATTCTAATTCTACACAACTCCAAAACCACAATTTCCACATTAACTTGTAGACAATACATCACCACCTCCTCTGCTCACAAACACATTTCACTGGTTTCCTTTTAAAAACAAACCATTTCTGCCCCCCTACAGATATGCATATGGAACCCAGCCATGCGAGACGTCAACAGACTCACCCCAGGCTCTCCGGGTTTTCCTCGCGCCCCGGACTTACCATGCAGCTGGAGTATCCGATGCCGACCAGTTTGGGCGAGATGTGCTTCCAAACGCCGATGCTGCCCTGCCGGATGCTCTGACCTGCGGCTAGCTCCATGAAAAACAGAGGTACCCCCACGATGAGCAAAAGGAAAACATAAAGCAGCATGAAGGCTCCTGAGGGACAGAGGGAGAGCCGGGTAAACATGTGTAAAGCTTATGTTATTTGTTTTACTAATCTTATATAATCATCTTTTATATTATGACAGAGTTAAAACCCGACAAAATGAACATATGTGAAGTTTATTTTTGATGTTAATAATAGTATAAAGATAATAGTATCCTGTCTCATCAACCAGCAAAACTACTGTATGTTGACTGACTTTTTAGAGTATTTAAATATTGACACAGGAAGTCAAATTTGTCCTCATGTCCCTCTGTTTACTTGGCAATTTGTCAAAAAGAAATTTGGCAGAGATTCAACCAGCAACCAAGCAACAGTGGTTCGAAAATATAAATTTATTGATACTGGTGAAGAGGAATTCATTTGAAAAAGTTTTGAAAAATTGTCCAAAAAGGCTGTCTATTTGTATGTATGTTTGGCTAGTATCGTCACAATACTAACATTTATACCACCTAATGCCTCCATTTCATTTCTCTCCAGCGGCTAGGTCAGGAATCGGAATACACTAGACGGTTTGCCAGAACCCCGGAAGTGCAAGTTCGGGCACCAGCCAATCAGCGAAGAGCCATACATTCTCTTTTGGCAACAATTCTCGAGATTGAGGATTTAAAGTCGGAACAAAAAGAATTTTTGGTGAATTTTATCTAGGGGAAAGACGATATTGCCCTTCTTCCTATGGAATTTGGAAAAAGCTTAATGTACCAGTAAGTCCCATTAGCGGCGCATTACATAGCAGCAATCGGTTAAATAAAAAAAAAAGCACCCGCCTACAGTTGAGCAAACAAATCCTAATGCTGCAAGGTCAGACGGTTTCCATGAAATTAACCCGGCTCATGAATCAGGCTAATTTATAACTCCTTTTTAGACAAAACTGTAATTTATAACACAAAATAACAATATTTTTATTATACCATGTGGTATAGATGATAAGTCTAAGAAGATGAAATTGTTTAGGAAAGGCCAAATTTTATCCAGTTATGTCACTATTGAACCTTACAAGAAAATTCCCATTCACCCACCTCCTCCGTTTTGGTGACAGAGATAGGGGAACCTCCAGACGTTGCCCAGGCCCACGCTGAAGCCCACTTGAGCCAGTACGTACTGGAGCTTTGAGTCCCAGGCGGGGCGGTCTGTGGGGCTGGCTTCTCCTCCCTCTGCATCGTCTGCACTGGTCAGCTCAGCCTGGGACTGGCTCTGCCCTAGCCACGCCCGGTCCTCACCGTTCAGAGAGGGCTTCTCCATCTAATAACCACAGGAAGACAGAAAGAGTCAGTTTTAATGAACACAAAAATAATGTTTAGAGGGCCCATATTACGCTTTTTAAAAAAAATCTATACTACACAGACATATTCTAAACATTTGATTAATGAAGGTGTCCACCTTTGGCAGATGTAACAGCTGAACTCACTCATGGCTCGTTCTTTTTACAGTAGATATCAAATATTGTTCAGAAAGTTCTTCCCAAGCCTGTTACAGATGTTCCCATAAATGTGTGGCACTTGTAGGTTTCTTGGCTTTCACTCTTCTGTCCAGTTCATCCCAAAACTAACTCGATGGAGCTTAAATCTGGAGACTGTGCTGGACACTCCATGTTTTCAAGCTTCACCATCTTGTTCTTTTTTCCTGAGGTAGTTTTGGCAGAGCTTTGACTTGTGTTTTGTTATCTTTTATCTTTTTTTTAACCTCTGGCTGTTCAGTACTTGCCCTTGTACCATTTCAAGCACTTCATTGGACTTGCACGACTTGAATTGCAATAAATAACTGTAAAAATTTTGACCGGTAGTGTATGTTATACTGATGTTTCCTTATCAAAAGCAGACCTTGAGTTGTGTTTTGTTTCATTCACACGTTTAACACACAAAACCTGCATCGGCTGTGCTGTTATCTCAAACTGAAAACACTCTGTTCCACCTTGTGATATCATGTGATAATACATGAACACTTTACTGTGTTTGTAAACCCCACACAACTTCACTAGCATCATTTGGTTCACTTCAGCCCTGGAACTGCTAGTCTCTGTTAATTTGAAAAGCTTTGGAGATGTAGACAGACTAATAATAAAGAGTTACTCAAACATGTGCGATTGAAACAAAACACAAGTCCAAGTATGTTTTTGAGAAAGTAACAACATTAGGGTGACCAAACGTCCGTTTTTCCCCGGACATGTCCGTATTTTGCGTCATGTCCGGAGCGTCCGGGTTTTTTTTTTTTTTATAAAGTGATGCAAATGTCCGGGTTTTCAGTACCGTTCCTTGGGGGCATTAAACTGAGCGTCTCTCGTAGCGTCTGTGACTCAGAAGGAGCGAGCAGACACAAACAATCGGTCAGTCTGCAACATACTGAAGCACAAATGCGCATTTAACAATGACTTGTACAAGAAATTCTCCGTTTTCTGTCCCGGTCGGGACAAGCGTGAGGCCATGTGCACAGGTTGTGAGTGAGAGTACAGTGTCCCTCGTTTATCTCGGGGGTTACGTCCTATAAATAACCCGCGATAGGTGAAATCCGCGAAGTAGTCAACTTTATATTTTACAATTATTCTATCTGTGTTAAGGCTGTAAAAGCCCTCACCACAAACTTTATACACTTTTCTCAGACAGGACAGGTGCAACCCTTTTTATTTCCTTCTTAAAACTTGTTGCTGCTGTCGTACTTGTGTTATTTTCCTCCTTTATGTAACAAACTGAAGATTCATTTATTCCATTATGGAGCCCAACAGCGCAGAGTCCCGCACGGGTCCATTTTTGGAGACCCCCAGTACAACACCGCACCCGCGCAGGACAGGACTGCACCTGCCCGTTAACCCGAGATTATATCAAATTTTTGCGCTGCCCACGACACGGACTCAACCAAGACTAAACAAGGACTAACCCAGGACTGATTCCAGGACTGAAGAGGAGGACTAATCCACGACTGAACTAGGACTAAAACAGGACTAAAACAGGACTAAACCAGAACTGAAACGGGACTCACCGTGAGGACGGGTTTGGAGGTGACCACAGGAGAAAGGACCGGCTCAGCTCCGCACCTCACGGAGTTAAACGCGGGAATTGCCTGATCGCGCCTTGTGGACAAACTGCTCGGCGTTTTCTCTCTTAAATCCAACATTTGTCCTGGTTTAGACCTGGTTTAGTCCTGACCCACCCGTGTGTAATTACTACCCGCCACACACAAAAAAGGTGTCCGGGTTTTCACAAACGGAAATATGGTCACCCTAAACAACATTATAACTAGGGGTGTCAAATTATCGCGTTAATTGCGATTAATTAATTACAGTCATATTTAGCGCGTTATGTTTTTTAATCGCGTTAATCTAATTTTTAATCTCTAACTTTAGTGTTTCTGTATGTGAGTTTCTTTATTATAAAACCTGTTTTTATGTGTTGTTGGGACAACAACACACACACACAAAACACATTTATATATATTTTTTTATTTCGGTAATTCCACTCATTGCCGGAAACCCACACAAAACACGAGCAGTAACAGCGATGTAAACGTCATGTTAACGTTGGCGGCGTCAGTCGCACAATGGACGAGGTCGAACAGCCAGTAGAACAGGGGCAGCAGTGCACAGGTAAAAACACATTCGTGTCTTGGAAATTATTCTCCCGACGTGAAATATAAAAGAAAATAACAAATATAATATCGCCTGAAAACAACCTGCATAGACTCATGATGTCTGCACTACTGTCCTATAGTGACCTGCCACATGAGGGGACACGCACACAAACACACACAAACACACACAAACAAACACACACAAACACACACACAAACACAAACAAACACACACCTTCATCATCGTCATTAACCTGAGAACGCGCGGACCACGTTTCCTTTCGTAGTTACTGCGCGGACATCGCTGTCCTACCGTGAGCCGCGTGTGGATCGTGTTTTCTCCCGTACGCGGCGTAAACCGCGCTTCCTCCTGTGCGCCTCTAAACCAGAACTAACACCAAGACTAAAACCAGGACTAAACCAGAACTAAAACCAGAACTAAAACCAGGTCTAAACCAGGTCTAAACCAGGACTAAACCAGAACTAACACCAGGACTAAACCAGGTCTAAACCAGGACTAAACCAGAACTAAAACCAGAACTAAAACCAGGTCTAAACCAGGACTAAACCAGGACTAAACCAGGTCTAAACCAGGTCTAAACCAGGACTAACACCAGGACTAAACCAGGTCTAAACCAGGACTAAACCAGAACTAACACCAGGACTAAAACCAGGATTAATCCATTCCAGGACTAAACTAGGACTAAAGTAGGTCTAAACCAGGTCCAAACCAGGACTAAAACCAGTGATCTCATATATATTTCTCTATCAATAATATTTTTAATATGGTTAAGGAAAGACTGGACTTTTTATTGTCTTTAAGTACACAAAAGTTATTATGTTCAGATTTCCTCGTCTTTGCTACTTTACAACAAACAGTTTCTTATTCATGGAGACTTGGGCTCAACAGCCAAATTGGAGAGATTTGTTAAACAATAAATGACTTTATAAAGTCACTTTTTAAAATCTATATTAGTCTTTTGATCTGCCACAATAATGTAATAATGAATTTAAATGAAAATACCTCAAATTGAAGGCTTTTCTCAGCAATTTTTAGGTGAGATTAATTAGATTAATTAATTACAGATCATAATTAATTAATCTCTCAATTTTTTTAATCGCATGACAGCACTAATTATAACATTACTAAAAACTCACAGGAGTCAATTTAGGATAATATAGGACTTTAAAATCAATATAATATAGGACTTTAGGTCATTTGGTCAAAGTACACCAATGTACTGGCAAATTTCAGTTCACTTTCCTCAAAATGAATATGTCTCATTTTAGGTGAAGTTTATTTACTTCCTGTTTGGACATGGGCAACAAATATGACATGTGGGGGTAATTCCATCACTTACCAAGCAACTGTAATACTAAACAAGGGTCAATCACTCAAAAGTTATGATTAGACTAATATAAATAAATAAAATCTTTAATTTAACAGATGAAGATTGATACTGCTGGAAAAAATTTTCCATAGCACGCAAATTGTCCATGCATTTGGATGTGTTGACTTAGGTATTTACACAAACTGCCAGTTAGCTGAAGTAAAACTATGATAAATATTTTCCACAGGTACTATCCCACCAAACCAAGTCATGAATAAAAAAACAAGCAAGCCTGTTATATGTACTTTAAACTTAACTTTGCAATCTCGGGGGGAAAAAAAACACAACCTCAACACAGTTTCTTACGTAACACTTTTGATAAATACTGTATAGCCTATGTGTAATACCACCTGGAATGTTCCACAGCATGTTATTAAACTGATCTGTGTTCTATTTATTTAATCACATGATTTATTTAAAAAAAAAAAAAATCTGGAAAAACATGAATTGCCTCTCCACAATTCAGACCTTTTATCACTACTTTTTGCAACTTTTTGGCTGTTGTTAATGCTATGTAAAGTGTAACTTCTACTTTTGCAAAACTTTAGATATTGTTGGAGATGATATTTGATAAAGCAACCATTTTATCCATCACAGAAAATGAAGAGCATGTGCATGATAGTGTAGTCATAATACAAATATTTTTACTTGGTTTCGATACTAAGGAATTGACTTGATACTCAATGAAAATTCTGATGCGATGATAATAAAATCACAACATTTCAACAATAAAATGTGATTTTCAACATTAAATCGCAGTACTTTGTTTTCATTTTACTTATATCTGTGTAATTCCTCAGTTGTCCAGGTAGGTTCCAAAATCGTCTATGGACGTATGCAGAGAAAATGTAAACAGTAAAAAGTAAACACCTCTCCACAGATCAGACCTCTAACTTGGACTGGTGACGTTTGCCTGATTCATCAGATGGTTTCATTTTGAGGAAACCGTCTGACCTCGCAGCATAAGGATTCGTTCACCCGACGGTGGGCGGGTACTTTTTTTATTTAACCAAGTGCTGCTATTTGGTCGTGATGTATGTAATGTGCCGCTAACGAGGCTAACTGGTATATTAAGCTTTTCCCAAATCCCGTAGGAAGAAGGACAATAACTTTCCCCTTGATAAAATTCACCGAACATTCTCTTTGTTCCGGCTTTAAATCCTCGATCTCGGGAGTCTCTGCCAACACAGACTGTCTGTCTTCGTCTACATCCATCTCGACCACTTTGTTTACTGTTGTGCTGTACCACAAAAGGGACCCAGACAGGCGTTTGAGTTTGCCGTCATGCTT